AGAATTAGCAGTGGTCCTATTCTTTTTGTCGGCAAACCCAAATTTACAAAATATGACGATCCTGTTTGCCATGGACAACAAAACGGCAGTCTTTTGTTTCAATCATCAAGGGTCAACAAGGTCTTGGCCCCTTCTACAACTATCAGAAAAAAATTTCAGTATTTGTACAAAAACACTTTACCTCAAAGCAACTTATTTACCAGGAATGCAAAACAATTGGGCAATGCGCTGTCCCGTCTCCGGCCAGTATCGACAGAAACAGAATGGTCCCTAAAGGTATCGGAGTTCAAGAATCTAGTGAAGAAGTTTGGAACTCCAAAGATAGATCTGTTTGCCTCCCTAACAAATTACAAGATGCCAATTTATACATCTCGGGAAAGGTCAAATCTTTTAGGAAATGCCCTCCTCTTAGATTGGAACCTTTGGAATTCAATCTATCTATTCCCACCTGTGAAAATATTGCCCAAGTGGTTCACAAACTCAGATCCTTCCGAGGCAAAGTCCTCTTAATTGCACCATATTGGATCCTACAACCTTGGTGCCTGGATCTACTGGACTGGTGCCTGAATCCTCTACAATTGCAACAAGGATGTCTAGACCAGGTACTACACTCTCAGTTCGAGATATCCTTGGCACTTCACGCTTGGAGTTTCTCAAAAAAAGTTTAAATAGGTTGTTGGGTAATTCCAATATAGCTAATCAAGTATTAGCAGGTCATAGACCCCAAACTTCTATTCACTATGAGAAAGCTTGGAATCTTTTTCAACAATTTATCAAGTTAACAACTCCAGATTCATTATCGGAAACAGTTGTATTAGAATTTTTAGAATTTCTGTTCAGAGTTAAAGGCCTTCAAGGATCGACAATTGCATCTTATAAATCAGCGTTGGTTGACCCTCTGGCTTGGGGTTTTAATATTACCTTGAACCCAAGGATTTATCAAATGCTAAGATCATCCTTTTTCATTCAGAGACCTCCTCGACCCAAGAGAATCTCGCCTTGGTCTCTGGAAAAAGTTATAATCTTCTTATGGGGCCTAATTACAATATAAATCTGAACAGGGATAAATTACTCCAGAAGGCAGCCTTCCTTCTAGCATTAGCAACAGGTATGAGAATCGGTGAACTGATTTCAATTTCCAATAATCCATCATTATTGGTATTTTCTGACGAGGATGTTATCCTTTTTCCTACGGAGATCCTAAGAAAAAATGAAAGGTAAGATTTCCAAGCTCAACCTATTAGGATAAAACGTCTAATGGATGAAACTAGGGTTCCTCACATATTGTGTCCAGTTAAAAATCTTCAGGACTGGTTAACCAGATTCCCTAATAGAGGCCCTTATGTTTTTTCATCAAGGGATGGTAAGAAATTATCTCCTAGTCAATTGACAAAATCCTCATCTCAATTAGTGAATCAAGCAGACTCTGGCAAGAAATTTTTGGCACATGACACTAGGAAATATGCAGGGTCTGTGGCCTTTCTGCGGCATAAGAGTCTCAGTCAGATCAAGGAAATGGGGTTTTGGAGATCTTCAAAAACTTTCAAAGACAGCTATCTTCATCTATCTCTGAGAGAGATTCCTCAAATGTGGTGGTGCTGGGTTCCTCTCCCCCTTCTAGTCAATCTCCACTACCAGGACCTTCTTTCTCATTAGAATAAAGTGAGTATCCTTTTTGAGTAAATTAACATTTTACCTTCCGGTAAATGTTCCTAACTTTGGAAATGTTCAAAATAGTTTATAATATAATGAGGACCTCAGTCAGCGGAGCCTTGTATGCAAAGTCACCTCCCTCTCCACCTTCTACTCGGGTATTCTTGCTGACGTCGCATTCAGCTTGAACAAAAAGCCGTTTTTTTTTTCGAAAAACCAGTTTTTGTGATATAGCTCGAATGCGACTTCCATAACCCGCCCATCTCCACCCCTCGAGAGTTGACTTTTAATTAGTGCTCTCTCTGAGGCAAGAGATGAGGTTCGCGATGCGCTTAGTGGGGGTGAACGAAGGGGGTTTGAGAATTGCAATTAAATACCAGGTAGCGACATGTCCTCCTAATATTACTTACTAAGTAATTATTAGATGTTTTAATTGCCTGCATGTTGGCCTGGCGAATTGGCTAGGAATTAACATACCTAGGTAGCATTTGTTTATGTCGCATTCGAGCTATATCACAAAAACTGGTTTTTAGAAAAAAATGGCTTTTTTTTAAACAGTTTTTGTGATATAGTCCAGAATGCGACGTCGACATCCCACCCATTTCCACCCCTCGAAAGTTGACATTTGCTTACTGCTCGCTCTAGGGCAAGAGATGACGGTAGCAATGCGTGTGATGGGGGGTGAAGGAGGGGGTTTTTAGAATTGCAATTAAATGCCAGCTAGCGAAGTGTCCTCCTAATATTACTTATTAAGTAATTATTAGATGCCTGTATGTTGGCCTGGCGAGTTAATGCTTGGTATTAATATACTTTGCTATGAAGCTACACGTAGCATTATGGAATGAAAAAAAACATATAAACACTGTAAATAAAATGATGTTTAACAATATATAATAATGAAATTAATGTAAAAAATGGAATTTTAATTAAAAATTTTTGTGGCCAATGTACAGTATTGGGATCCCGTTATAAGTGCGGGTGATGATAAGTGGTAACTCGGGGACTGCCTGTACAGTATTATTATTGTTATTATTCCCTGTATTATTATTATTATTATTTATTATTATTATTATTATTATTATTATTATTATTATTATTATTATTATTATTATTATGATTATGATTATGATTATGATTATGATTGATTATGATTGATTATGATTATCATTATGATTATCATTATCATTATCATTATCATTATCATCATTATCATCATTATCATCATTATCATCATCATCATCATCACTACTACAGTACTACTACTTTTTTTTTTATCGTGGCCTCCAGCCTCCCCCAATAGCCACACCTTTGCTGCCATTTTATTACCTTTATATTAAATATCCTAATACATGAGTAGCTATCCTATCTGTGTTGAATTATTTGAGCCGCAGACCTATGCAGCATTCAGTGACTGCAGCCTCATAGTCAATATCTGCAACTGTTGTTGGCTTTGGAGCCGAAGCTCTCGTTCCCCTGAGGCAGAGCAAAGCCGACCGAAGGACAGTCGACATCTTATCCAGGCTGTAACATAACTTCTGGGCTACTATTACATTTTCGCCCCCAAGGCCCTGATGTGGGTCAGTGACCTGTGCCCGGGTGGGCCACTTCCCGTAATGTCTTATAAACGACCAGTAAATACTTCTGGCTCTAGTTTTCCTAAGAGAAAGAGTGAAGATAGATGTGCTGACTAGCTGAAGTTGGGTGATGGTGCTTGTGGCTGGTCAGTTAATCAGTGCCAATGAGATGGAGATTATAACACACATTGCCTCTGTACAGTATAGTACTGTACTGTATTACATTTACCAAGTAATTTTTATCACTCGTTAAGTGTATCCGTGCAAAAGTTTTCATATTAGAGGTTATGGCTGTAAGAATAACACAAAGTTGTTTTAGGACACGGGATCATGAGTGTTAGGATTACAGGTGGCCTGGGATGCAGGAAATTTTCTCATATTTCATTTATTTTATTTTTTCATTTAGAATACTTTTATTGTGCTCTTCATTTATTAAAGGTTATTGTCACATTACTTGTTTATTTATTACATTTATTTACTATAATGTGTGTCAAATTTGTATATAAAGAAGTCCATAACTATACAGGGCATTGGGCTAAATGAAGCTTAGGCATTGCTCTGGTCCCAAGGTTGGCAGATAACAGAGGGTCAACCTGTATTACCCTGTGTACAATATATATGGGAGTGACACAACACCTGTCCCAGGCTGCAGTAAAGTACCTTAGTAGAAAATGACATGAGAAGATATACAGTGGACTTGTCCAATATTGCACCACGGCAGTGTATGTGCCACAGAATAATGTGGCTACCCGAATTACTTCCTTCATTTTTTGGTAATGATGGGTAATTACACTTAAATGTACTTGAAAGCTGCCACGGACAATTTAAACCAACTGCAGTGGCCCAGTAGCTCATTCAGGCCTACAATATCCTGGACCACTGCCACTCTTGACCGTCTGTATTTTATTACTTTAGACTTACTGTACTTTAACTCACCTGCACTCTAGTGTATACTGTATACTTTGTTGGATAGAATTAAACCATTTAGCCCCTTTTAATGTGTATTGAACTATTTTTAGTGTGTGTTTTCTGATGTTTCTACACATAACATGTAAACCTACAGTATTTTGTACTTTTACTCAGGCCCTGACAGCCCCTAATTTGTATTGCTGGGCAATCCCATTGTAGTAATATAACTTGGCATTATGTTCAAGATTGTAAAACTATGTAACCTAGGATGATGTGATCACTGGTATATTGGTGACTTATATCAAACATCTTGTGACATGTGGTGTGAGGCAGGGAGGTCCAGGCAGGGAGATTCAGGCATTTTCTTTAATGCAGTACTGTATTGTACTCAGGCATTTTTGTATCGTAAAAACTAATTACTATTGACTTCAGAATATCTCCTAATATCAAGTGCATATGGCTTCAAAATGGCCTCAGATATAAAATGACCACCACAAGAATGACACTCAAATGAAAAATGTGGCGAGATTCAGGAATTTTGGAAACAGACAATATTAAGTATCTCTGACCAATAAACTAACAGTTTGAAAATAATAATAGATTACATTAGTGACTTTTAAATCTTCAGAACTGAAAGTAATATATTTGTCAGAATTTTGCCCAAAGATTAAACATTAAAAGTTGTGAGAAAAATATATATAGTACAGTACAGGATCTTAGTCACTACATCTCATATTACATCTACTGATGAAACTTGGTTAACAATCTCTGACAGATCCCTCACTAATGGCATGACTCGCATTTACCTTTATTTACTTTCTAAGTCGTGTATTTGAACACAATTTATATATTTTGTCATTGCAGGCAAAAGTTTCATTAAGCAGGATGGAGAAGTTCCTGGCATCATCAGACATTGATCCTCATGCTGTATCCACTAGTAACAAGGAGAGTAAGTGTTGTACAGTAGTTGAAAGTTAACAGTCAGTGTCACTCATTTATTCTGACCACAGAGTATACAGTATATTTAATGTTTTAACATTGTTTGTAATCCACTCCAGGTTTTGGATAAGACATTAATACTTGTATATGATGTTATTTATAATCAGAAGCATTATGTGTCTTGTGTCTCCATCTCTTCCTATATTCAAACCTGTCTCATAACTTATCTGACCTTCCAAACTTCATCTCGTCACCATCATAGTTTTACGTCAATTTTCCACACTTGTGTGAGTTAGCCATTGTTACCTCTTGTGAGGAAAACAGTGGTCTGGATTAGAGTTGATAGTTTTGTAATTCAGGCAACTGAACTGGATAATTGATTTTTTATGTGAATTTAATTTATCATTTGCACCACTTAAAAGCTCTCTAGTCATGTGTGTGTGGTTGGTCTGTCCATTGTTACTTTGTTATGACCTTCATTATTCAGTGTTACCAGTAGTACATGGGGATATCAGAGTACCCAGAGAAAACCTTTGATGTTTGGTAGTATCACACTGGATAACACCCTTATCACTTCTGACCCAGGCCAAGGGTTGAACACAAATCACAATGGTGATAGGTGCAAATAGATAGAGGGGAAAGTCAACAAACTATGGGATGAAAGCTCCATCTCTTAAGAGTGGTTGTGCAGAAGTACTTTGACAAGGATGAGATAAAGGAAGAAGATGGGATCATATAGAGAGTGTACAGGAGTATGGCAGAAAGAAGCTCATCATTATCACATGTAATTACATCTTAAATTTAGGGGTAGGGTCTAGGCAATGTGCTTTTGAAAAAATCTCATGATACCTAAACTCTATTTGTTGAATCATCTGAGAGACAACTAATGGACTGAGACATAATATTATTATATAGCAGAAGGAACGAGACAAGGGACATACTTTGTTGTCTTTGTAATGTAGATGTGAGATGTTCCTAGAAGACAAGGAACTGTATCAGTTGTGGCAAAGAGGAAAAAAGTAAAGTGATCAAATCAGTTCAAGAAGATTGGGAAATTATTACTGTACTACAGTATACCATCAGAATACTTTTAGTCCAGTCAAGAATTGAGTTTCTCTAATTTGCTTCTGTGAATATCATGTATGCTTATTTATTTTAGATGAGGCAATTGTGGTTCGTGGAGGACAGTTCAGTTGGGGCACTGAAGGTAGAACAGATCCATGGCGACTGCGAGATGTGGATCTGGAAATTGGTCAAGGGCAACTGGTGGCGGTGGTGGGGCCTGTGGGAGCTGGCAAAAGTTCTCTTCTCTCCTCTTTACTGGGGGAAATAAATAAAGAAGCTGGGCAGGTTGTTGTTAATGTAAGTTATTGTTGCATTTTCATTTACTGTACAGGCATCCCCTGGGTTACAGAAAGGTTCTGTTCCTGAAAATCTTCCCGCATTGCAAACCTTTTTTCCCGTTGATTCTCATTATATGGGTATAACTTGAAATGCATGCCTAGGGAAATTTTTACTTTTACTTTTATCTATCTCGCCACTGATCGGCTCGTTAGCCGCTTGGGCGATCGGTCACGTCTCTGATTACTTTTCCATTTCATTTATCCTCTTCACCAAAAGATTGGCTCGCTAGCTGCCTGGGCGATATGTCACATCTCTGTCACGCACTGTTAGCAAATACTGGGCATGCACCGGCTCCTGAATGTACCTGAACCCGCTCCAGTGTTGGTCAAGTCTTGTCTTGAAAGAGCTCGCACTCAGTGCCGTCACAACACTCTCCGGTAGATTGTTCCAAGAGTTTACAACCCTCACTCCGAAAAAGTTTGCCCTCACAGTTTTCTGGACTTCAGCCTCTTCAATCTTGAGCTGTGACCCCTTGTGGGGCGAGCGTCCGCCAGCTCCAAGTAAGGACACTCGACTGAGTAATGCCCCCTGAGATGCTTATACGCCTCAACTAGGTCACCCCTTGCCTGTCTGTAGTATAAGCTAGGCAAGTTCAGGCTCTACAACTATGTTGTAGTAAAAATTTTATCTTAACTTTATGATGGTATGAAAAAACAAGTAATATAGAAGAGGTTAGGTTAGGAAAGATAAAGGTTAATATAGGAAAAATAAAGGTAAGGTTAGAAAACTAAAAATTAGGTGTAACACTTACGGTAGTAGAAGAGATGGGTCGGCATACGGGGATGGAGGCTGGTTCCGAGGCAGAGGGCAGATTACTGGCCCTCAGGTGAATCACCATTACTAGGTGAATCACCATCACTGTCACTTACAGTTGTCAGGGCTTCCCTGACAAATCCCTCAAAGTCACCTTCACTGTCACTATCACTGGCTTGGGCTGGCTGTGGTGGGTTGCGGGCGAAGAAATCTGTTATGCTTTGCTGACGGCTGGCGTTGATGTTGTCGTGATACACCTTGATGTACGGCTCCATAGCCTGCACCAGCCGGTTATGGAAGACTTCATAGCGGTCATCGTCATTGTCGCGGGAAAGGAAGGACTTCATCTTCTCTGCACACTCCATGGCACCCTTAATATCACTATGACTTAAATTGTGTTCTTCGGAGACTGACGCACCTTCTTCCTCCTCTTCACTGACGTGTTCTTCCAACATCTCGTCGGCAGTCACTTCAGGATCTCTGATCACCTCCAGGATGTCGTCGTTGGTGGTCTCGGAGAAGCCTGGAACTGTAACAGTCTGCGCAGCTTCTCTGGCAAGGTCCACTGCTACTGCAACATTCTGAACCTCACCAGTCACAGATTGACTCCTCCTCTCACCTGGTATTCCATGCAACACATGTCTCCATGCGTGACGAATTGTAGCAATAGACAGCTGATCCCATGACTCCACCAAGAAGTCCACAGCTTTCTTGATGTTAAATACTCTCCAGAATTGTTTGAAGAGTATTTTTTGCTGTTCTAACTGTTGATCCTCATCTTCTTCGCTCTTGCTATCGGTGGTGGTGTCACTCAGGTTACACAACTCTTCCCTGGTGTTGGTGTAGTCGTTCAGGAGCTGGAATTTTTTTGTTGAGAATGCAGCTTTCACATTGCAAATCAATTCCTGGTCCATGGGCTGGATTAAAGACGTAGTGTTGGGAGGAAGGAAGACCACTTTTACGTTGGGGTGACGATCTAACAGTAGGGGCGAGTGTCCTGGTGCGTTGTCCAGCAGCAACAAAATATTAAATGGGACATTCTGTCGCTCACAGAATTTCTTTACATCGGGAACAAAACAGTCATCAAACCAGGAGAGGGACAGTGTAGAGAACATCCATGCCTTACGTGCGGTCAGCCAGTGGACATTTAGCTTGGTCATGTCCATGCTCTTGTAGGCGTGCGGCTTGCGGGCTGTGTGGATCACCGATAACTTGAGCTTACAGGTACCAGAGGCATTGGTGGTAAACAGGACGGTGATGCGTTCCTTCTGCATTTTCCAGCCCCGAATCCTGCTGGCATTCTTCACAACGAAGGACTTGGAAGGTAACTTTTTCCAGAAAAGACCAGATTCGTCCATGTTAAACACCTGGTCGTCACTGTACTGTCCTTCCTCCATAATCTCACGTAAAAACGGAGGAAATTCCCGAGCCGCAGCACGATCAGCACTCGCTTCTTCACCACCAATGTTTATATTGGTGATCTTGTTCCGGATCTTAAACCTCTGTAACCACCCAGAGGAAGCATTAAAGGGTTTGGGCTCTGAAGTTCCCATCTTTCGTGCCACTGCCATGTACAGTTCACGTGCGTAGTCCTTAACAGAGCGCGTGTCGACCGCCATGTTCCGTCGCGCCTGACGCACCAAGTACCTCACAATTAATTTTTCTGTCTTGAGAAGCACCTGGTTGTGAAAATACTTGATCATAGAAGCACCTGTAGACTTTGTGATCTTCATGTGCTCCTTTATCTTGGCTGAATCCTTCTTTATAGTCCGGATCGTAGATTCGTTCACGCCATGCTGGCGCGCCAAATCAACCTGCCTTGTTCCTTTCTCCAACTCTTGGATGATGCTATACTTCACCTCGTAGCTTAAGGAACGTCGTGTCTTCTTTGGTTTAGTGCCGCTGGGTCCAGGTAAGGAAAGGTTTCTCTCTGGGGGTGGTGGTCCGGCGGAAGCCATTTTACGGAACAATGGATGCGCGTTTACACGGAGTGGCCTTGAGGGATGAAACTGCCGCGGCTAGGTCAAGCGTCGTCTTTCCTCCCTCCCTCCCTCCCCCGGGTGGACACGTCATAATACTTTAAGCCAATTACAGCTAGCAGCAGAGGGGGGTAGGGATGCATGGCCAATCACAGGTCTGATACGTCATATGACGTCAGTGATAACGCAACAAAGACACACACTGCGCAACCTTACCGCGCCGCTTGCCCAAGCGGAGGGAGGAGGAGGGAGAGGCAGGCAGGCAGGCGGGCGGGTGACGGGTGGGGCGAATCTAAAAATAGCGTTGCACCGGACACACTCCGCGTAATGGGGTTCACGTACCGCGTAATGTGAGCACGTGAGGTTCTGGCAAGGCACCGCGTTAACGTGGAAACGCGGAATGCGGGACCGCGTAAAGTGAGGGTTAACTGTATTGTGTTGGGAAAAAGTGGAGTTTGGGGGTCGGCCCGGTCTCTATTTCAATTAATCTCATATATTATGTTGTTCACTTAACGCGTTTCTCACTTTACGTGGGCTGCCGTGGGTTCGATTAACCGCGTAAAGTGAGGGTTCACTGTACAGTATATGATATTTTTCAGATTTATTTTACATATTATTTTATTTTGACAGGGCAAAGTAGCTTATGTTTCTCAACAAGCTTGGTTACAAAATGCAACACTGAAGGACAATATCACTTGGGGTCAACCTTTAGATGAACGACATTACCAGAAGATTATTGAAGCGTGTGCCCTTCAGCAGGACCTAGACATGCTGCCTGCTGGGGACATGACAGAGATAGGAGAAAAGGTAATTGGGTTCATAAGGACAACAGTTAACAGCACCTGCCATGATGGTTCTCATTACTGCTGTTGTTATGGCTCAGGTTTGTTGGAATTCACCAGAAGTTTCAATTAAATATTAGGCCTATCACCACCTGGAAAGACCCCAAGTACTTGCTGTTGATGATAATGCAGATAGATATGACTTGAGAGAAGTGTTGACCTCATATTGGATATGTAAGTAAACATACTCACAGTAACTCATCTCTCTTAACCTATTATTAATCTGATCCCCAAAAATCTAAGACTAACTCCTTTGTTTTTATTTAAACAATTCCACATTTTGTCCTCGACTTATGGTGGGGTTAGGGACCGATGACCAGGTCGTTAGTCGAAAATGCGAAAATAATACATAGAAAATCTAAAATGAAATATGGTACAGTAAAAGTAATCAATAATGAAAAATGAATAAAGTGTTACTGTGCACTTACCCTAAATGTAGTCAGCTGAATGCACACAGGGCCTCAATAATTTTTTAATTAAGCATGTAGACTACATTAATTGGATGAAGCAGAGGAGGAGACAGGGCTGGCTGGGTCATCAAGTTCGCTTTCTTCAGACAGGCTAACATACTTGCTTGTTGAAGGTATTGGATCATCTTTAGGAAGTAAAGAGGCAGCAGTAGTGGGGTGTGAGGAGACACCAGCGGGGACTTCTTAAAATATATGTCCAATTTAGACTGCACGGTTTGCCTTTTCTTTTCATTGTAAATTTCCCTGTGTCAACTTTTGCAAAATGCTCAACATTTGATCCATTTCTTCAAACATTTGCATCCCCTTATTAATAGTAGAAAATGCCTCTGCCCTGTCCTTCAAAATTGTTGATATCGTCGAGTGAGAGAATCCAAGGTCGCTTGAAATGGTTTCTTCCGTTTTTCCATTTTCATATTGAAGTATTATTTTCTTTTTCATCTCAAAAGTAATTGACTATCTCTTTTTCTTCTGAGCACCACAAGAACTCTCACTTTTACGCTTGCCAGTCATTTTAAAGGGAATTAGAAACAAAAGTTTTGTCAGTACATAGCGCGATCACTCACACCAACGACAGCCAAACACCAGACAGTCCCCTAGTTACAACCGTCCAACATACGATCATCCGCACTTACGAACGGGATCCCAATACATTCATTGCAAAAAACTGTGATTAAAATCCCCCCTTTTTTTCATTATTCTATATTGTTTAAAATAACTTTATTTACATTATTTGTTATGTATGGGATATTAATGAGTTTTTTTTATATACTGGGTTGTGCTTTAACCTAGCTTAACCTTTGAAATTAACACTGTTCTAACTTATGAACAATATCGACCTATGGTCAGGGTCCTCAAACGTAACCCTGTCATAAGTCGGGGAATACCTGAATGTATATAAATACACAGTATATACATGCACTGACTTCATACATGCTGTATCAGTGTAAACTTGTGTAATGATCATTGTATCTATCTTTCTAACTGTCCCCAGGGCATCAACCTCAGTGGAGGACAAAAACAACGAATATCTTTAGCACGAGCAGCATATAATGATGCTGATGTCATATTACTGGACGACCCTCTCAGTGCTGTAGATTCTCATGTTGGCCGTCACATCTTTGACAGTTTAATTGGTCCTAATGGAATGATGAAGAAGAAGGTAGGTGTACTTTATTTTATTGACAATACAGCACCTACATTATATTTTCTACTGTACTGTACTGTATCAGGCTATTCACAAGACAAAATTAAAAGAGCATATCTTGCTTGGACCTGCAGCAGTTAAACCTTAAAAGGCAGCGGTCATCAGTAAAAGTTAGCTGTAGGTACAGTGGCCGTCATCCGTAAAAGTTAGCTGTAGGTACAGTGGCCTTCATCAGTAAAAGTTAGCTGTAGGTACAATGGCCGTCATCCGTAAAAGTTAGCTGTAGGTACAGTGGCCTTCATCAGTAAAAGTTAGCTGTAGGTACAATGGCCTTCATCAGTAAAAGTTAGCTGTAAGTACAGTGACTTTCATCAGCAAAAGGTAGCTGCCATATGGCATCACGAAAATTGTGACCAAGTCCCAGGTTGCTGATCTGACCTTCTGCCTCATTTACACACAATTGTAGGGTCTCAAATGTTTCTATTACATGACAAAACAACATACATATATAGCGTTTCTCACTGTTGATTTTTTTTCATTCTTGCATTTCTTTGTATTTATTATTATCACAGTGTTGTTATTATTATTATTACCATTAATGTTTTATTTTACTTCTGATTATAAATTTTATTTACTATGAATTATTATTATTATTATTAAATTTTCGCTCCCCGGGCCCTGATGTGGGTCAGTGACCTGTGCCCGGGTGGGCTAATCCCCGTAAAAAAAAAAAAAATCAGGAAAAGTTTGCTGTAGGTATGGTGGCCATCATCAGTAAAAGATAGCTGTAGGTACAATGGCCCTCATCAGTAAAAGTTAGCTGTAAGTACAGTGGCCATCATCAGGAAAAGTTAGCTGTTGGTACAGTGGCCTTCATCAGCAAAACTTAGCTGAAGGTACAGTGACCATCATCAGCAAAAGTTAGCTGTAAGAACAGTGGCCATCATCAGCAAAAGTTAGCTGTAAGTACAGTGGTCCTCATCAGCAAAAGTTAGCTGTAGGTACAGTGGCCTTCATCAGCAAAAGTTAGCTGTAAGTACAGTGGCCATCATCAGTAAAAGTTAGCTGTAGGTACAGTGGCTGTCATCAGTAAAAGTTAGCTGTAGGTACAGTGGCCATCATCAGTAAAAGTTAGCTGTAAGTACAGTGGCCATCATCAGCAAAAGTTAGCTGTAGGTACAGTGGCCTTCATCAGTAAAAGTTAGCTGTAAGTACAGTGGCCATCATCAGCAAAAGTTAGCTGTAGGTACAGTGGCTGCCATCGGTAAAAGCTAGCTGTAGGGACAGTGGCTGTCATCAGTAAAAGTTCGCTGTAGGGACAGTGGCCTTCTTCAGTAAAAGTTAGCTGTAGGTACAGTGGCTGTCATCAGCAAAAGTTAGCTGTAGGTACAGTTGCTGTCATCAGTAAAAGTTAGCTGTAGGTACAGTGGCCATCATCAGTAAAAGTTAGCTGTAGGTACAGTGGCTGTTGTCAGCAAAAGTTAGCTGTAGGTACAGTGGCTGTCATCAGTAAAAGTTAGCTGTAGGTACAGTGGCCATCATCAGTAAAAGTTAGCTGTAAGTACAGTGGCCATCATCAGCAAAAGTTAGCTGTAGGTACAGTGGCTGTTGTCAGCAAAAGTTAGCTGTAGGTACAGTGGCTGTCATCAGTAAAAGTTAGCTGTAGGGACAGTGGCTGTTGTCAGTAAAAGTTAGCTGTAGGGACAGTGGCTGTTGTCAGCAAAAGTTAGCTGTAGGTACAGTGGCTGTCATCAGTAAAAGTTAGCTGTAGGGACAGTGGCCTTCTTCAGTAAAAGTTAGCTGTAGGTACAGTGGCCATCATCAGTAAAAGTTAGCTGTAGGTACAGTGGCTGTCATCGGTAAAAGTTAGCTGTAGGGACAGTGGCCTTCATCAGTAAAAGTTAGCTGTAAGTACAGTGGCCATCTTCCTTGGTGTTGGTGCAGTCGTTCAGGAGCTTTTATTTCTTTGCAGAGTACGCAGCTTTCACATTGCACATCAACTCCTGGTCCATGGGCTGGATTAATGACGTAGTGTTGGGAGGAAGGAAGACCACTATTACGTTGGGGTGACGATCCATAAGTAGTGGCGAGTGTCCAGGTGCGTTGTCAAGCAGCAACAAAATCTTGAATGGAACATTCTGTTGCTCGCAGAATTTCTTCAAGTCGGGAACGAAACAGTCATCAAACCAGGAGAGTGACAGAGCAGAGAGCATCCACGCCTTGCGTGCGGTCAGCCAGTGGACATTAATCTTGCTCATGTCCACGTTCTTGTAGGCGTGCGGCTTGCGGGCTGTGTGAATCACCGATAACTTGGGTTTACAGGTACTGGAGGCATTGGTGGTAAAGAGGACGGTGATGCGCTCCTTCTGCAACTTCCGGCCCCGAATCTTTCTGGCAGACTGGACAACGAAGGTCTTGGTAGGCAGTTTTTTCTAAAATAGACCAGATTCGTCCATGTTGAACACCTGGTCGTCGGTGTACTGCCCTTCCTCCATAACCTCACATAAGAACGGAGGAAAATCTCTAGCCGCCACACGTTCAGCACTCTCTTCTTCACCACCAATGTTGATGTTGGTGATCTTGTTCCTCTTCTTAAACCTTTGCAGCCAACCAGAGGAAGCATTGAAGGGTTTGGGCTCTGCAATTCCCATCTTACGTGACACTGCTGCGTACAGTTCACGGGCGTACTCTTGAACGGATCACGTGTCCAACGCCATGTAGCGTCGCGCCTGATGAATCGAGTAACTCACCAGCAAATTTTCAACTTTTAGCAGCACCTTGTTCTGGCAATACTTGATCATTGAAGCACCTGCATACTTTGTGATTCTCATGTGTTCTTTGATCTTGGCTGCATCCTTCTTAATAGTACGAATCGTAGATTCGCTGACTCCATGCTGGCATGCGAGATCAGCTTGACGTGTTCCTTTCTCCAAATTTTGAATGATCGTATTTCACTTCGTGGCCTGGAGGGCTGGTTCCAGGAAACTGACGCGGCACGTTTACACGGTGTGGCCTGGAGGGATGAAACTGACGCGGCTAGGTCAAGTGTCGTCTTTCCTCCCTCCCTCCCGTGGGTGGACACGTCATATTACTTTAAACCAATCACAGCTAGCAGCGGAGGGAGGTAAGGATGCATGGCTCAATCACAGTCCGATACATCATATGATGTCACTGATAACGCAACAGAGACAAGCACTGCGCAACCTTACCGCCCGGCTTGCCCAGGCGGGAGAAAGCGGGAGGGCCGAATAAAAAAATAGCGTCGCCCCAGACTCTGCGCGTATATGGGTAGATGCACCGCGGAAAGTTCGGTTTGGTTCTGGCGAGATACTGTACTGTGTAAATGAGAAATCGCGGAAAGTGAAACCTAGTAAAGCGGGGTAATACTGTATTATTTTTTTTATCATTCATCTCAGTAGAGGAAGAGTAAGGGGGCAAAAGAATGCCCTGCCCTGGGTGCCCAGTTCTTTAGGGACGATTGTGTATTTTACTTTTACTGTACAGCGTAAAGCGAGAAACTCGTAAAGTGAACAACATAACATATGGAATTACAGTGATCCCTCGGTTAACGAAATTTCGGTTAACGAATTACCTTCCATAAGATTCTTCACTTTGGATAACGAAAAAATTTCGGTTAACGAATTTTTCCCAACATGTTTTTGCCTGCATTTGCCTGCTCACCAGCTGTAGTATTAGTCCGCCAATACAGTAATTGGTTTTAGGGCTTAAATTCGTTAACATTTTAATAAATATCAAGAAGGTTGTACTATTCAATAATTTTAAAAGTTTTATATTAAAATTTTTAGTCATTTTAACAATTATTGAACATAATTGAAGTACAGGAAACTATTTTTTTGCACGCCAAACAGCCACTCAACACACTAAGCTTGGCGTCAGGAAGGAACATCTTGTTTGAGACTCTTCAACATAAATGCTTATTTTCTGTGTTTCCAGTCAAATTATTGGTCATTTTGAAATATATTTGTGTTGATTTAAAGAAAATAATCTTGAATTACACCAAGTGAACTAAAATTTTATGGGTGAAATGGCACCATGGGGTGACTTCTCTTCCACCCCAATGCCTTCTCTTCTCCCTTCTCCTCCACCCCCATTCTAATTCCCATCATCATCCACGAGCCTTCATCGTACACACCTCAAAGTATGTGTACTTTTCTACCTTTTTTGTTAAATTTCGGCAATTTTCGGTGAGCTGGAACCAATTACCCAAAAACCCATTGAAACAATGGTTTCGGTTAACGAGTTTTTCGGTTAACGAGCAACCTTCCAGAACGAATTGTGCTCGTTAACCAAGGGACCACTGTAATTGAAATAGAGACCGGGCCGAACCCAAACTCCACATTTTCCCGACACAATACGTATGTTTTAGTAAAATAACATTAACTTTATGATGGTATGCACACACACATAATATAGCAGGAAGGGGTGTAACTGACGCTGGTAGGTCAAGGGGCTTGAACGCTCCTGCTGTGGGGCACGTCATAGTACATTAAACCAATCACAGCTAGCGGGGAGGGAGGTAAGGATGCTTTGCCCAATCACAGTCCGATACATCATATGACGTCACCAATGACGCAACAAAGACATACACTGCACAACCTACTCGCGCCACTTACCCAACATGGCGGGAGAGATGGCGGGAGGTTTGAATCCAAAAATGGCGCGGCCCGAGAGGACCGCCAGCCGCTCTCCGCGTAAAAGGGTACACACACCGCGTAAAGTGAGCATTCCATGTTCGGCATGATACCGCGTAAACGTGGAAACTCGTAAAGTGAAACCGCGTAAAGCGGAGTTTTACTGTATATTTATTCATCTCTGGTAGGAAGGGGGTACCAGTGGATAGGTCCGCCCCGGGTGCCAAATGATCTAGGAACTCCCCTGGGTACAGTGGCCTTCATTAGTAAAAGTTAGCTGAAGATACAGTGGCCTTCATCCGTAAAAGTTAGCTGAAGGTACAGTAGCCGTCATCCGTAAAAGTTAGCTGTAGGTACAGTGGC